GGGATTCAGATCGGGCCAACCGTCCCGCTCTGCTTTGAAGTAGTTGCATACATGTAGTTTAATTTTATCTTTTCATTAAGGAATTTGAATTTTACCATGGGGTTTGAAATTAGGATTTTCAGAATTCAATCGAACTTCATTACAATGATGGACCAGACAATTTCAAGGTCTCTAAATACACAATAGCTTTTTTGTTCAGTTCTAATTGGGCAAGAATGCGAGACTCAATAGGAGAAGTGTTATTTGTGGCTTGAATTATTTTCTTGTATTTTAAGAAACCCATAGTCCCTATAGGTTTAGGAAAACTCATTGTCCTAATAGATTTGGGAAAAGAAAACTTATAATCCTTGTCAATTTGGAAAACCTTTCTCATATATGTTTGGGACCTTTTGGGATCTATATATAGCGGTTGCAGTTGGGGATTCTATAAATTGTATGGTGATTTTATTCTCATTCATAGTGGAAAACTCTCTCTTCTTTTGCCCCGAGGATTAGGCTTAGTCGAACCTCATTAAATCCTTGTGTTGATTTTTCTTCTCTATTTGCTTTGTGTGTAATTGTGTGCTAGTTAACCCACGATTTTCCGCAACAATTGGTATCAGAGCAAGGTTCGGGTTTCTACACATAATTAGGGTTAATATGTCTTTATCATATGAAGTAGAGAAATTTGTTGGAGGTTCTAGTTTCAGTCTATGGAAGATTATGATGAAATCGTCCTTGGTGTTACAAGGATTATGGAAAGCAATTGATGAGGATTTTCCTGAAGATATGAAAGAGACAAAGAAGGAAGACCTGAAGGAGAGGGCTTTGAGTGTGATCTTCATGAGCGTTACAGATAGCGTTCTTCGGGAAATTGCTGAAGAAACTTCTGCAACAACGACATGGAAGAAGCTGGAAGACTGTATTCTAAGAAATCGCTGACAAACCGCCTCTACCTGAAAAAAAGGTTATACAATCTCCGTATGAACGAAAGTACACTTGTTAAAACGCACCTTGATGAGTTTAATTCAATTATAATGGACCTGAAGAATGTGGATATCAAAATTGAGAGTGAGGATCATGCCTTGATTGTGTTATGTTCTTTACCACAGTCTTATGATACTTTTGCCGATACACTGCTATATGGGAAATATAGCATTTCACTAGAAGATGTTACTAATGCACTAAAATCTAAAGAGTTGAAAAAGAGCTTTCCAGACAACAGAATTGAGGGCGAGGGTCTTGTGATTAGAGGAAGAACACAACAAAAGGACTTTAACAGGAAAAAGTCAACCGCAAGATCAAAGTCTAGAGCAAGGAAGCAAAACTGTTATGAGTGCGGGGAGCAAGGTCACTACAAGAGAGATTGTCCTAAGCTGAAGGAGAAAAGAGGGAAGCAGAAAATAGATAATTCGGCAAATATTGTTGACACTGGAAATAATTCTGATGATAGTGATTACGTAGGGGAAGTTTGTGTTGTGAGTTCTAGTCATGGGCAAAATTCTTGGGTTCTTGATTCTGGTGCTACTTTCCACATGTGTCCACACAAGAATTGGTTTGCAACTTACAAACAAATGAGTGGGACTGCCTATATGGGAGATGATAATCCATTACCAGTAGAGGGGGTTGGTAACATCAAATTGAGAATGTTCAACGGAATTATCAGAAACATTGAGTGTTGGCATGTTCCTCGGATAAAAAGAAATTTGATTTCTCTTTCGACTTTGGATGATCAAGGGTATAAATTTCACTTCGAGAATGGAATACTTGTGTAAAGGCTCCATGGTACTTATGAAGGGTAAACTACATTCTAAATTGTATCATCTTCAGGCCAGTGTAGTTGAAGGGGAAGGTGCTGTAACTTCTGGGAAAAGTGATTTGAATCGGTCTCAGTTGTGGCACTTGCGGCTTGGCCATATGAGTGATAATGGATTGTCTTTGTTGAGTAAGCAGAATTTGCTGAATGGGCACAAAAATCATGTTTTGAGTTTTTGTGAGCATTGTGTGTTTGGTAAACAGACAAGGGTAAAGTTCATCAAGAAGCCCGAGCACAAGACCAGAGACAAGTTAGATTATATACACTCTGACTTGTGGGGTCCAAACAGAGTTCCCTCCAAGAGTGGTGCCAGATATTTTATGACTTTGATTGATGATTACTCGAGGATGGTGTGGGTGTATTTTCTGAAAACAAAATATGAGGCATTTTCGACATTTGTTAAATGGAAGACGATGGTTGAGAGGCAGACGGAAAGAAAAGTTAAGCGTCTTCGAACTGACAACGGGTTGGAATTTTGCAATTCTGAGTTCGATAATTTCTGCAGCAGGGAGGGCATAGTGAGACACCGCACTTGTATCTGAACACCACAACAAAATAGTGTTGCAGAACGTATGAATATAATGCTTTGTGATAGGGCACGAAACATGCTTTCACACTCATGTGTTAGCAAAGATTTTTGGGCTGAAGCAATTAATACAACTTGTTATTTGGTCAATAGATCTCCATCCACAGCTATTGAGTTCAAAACTCCTTTTGAGGTATGGTCAGGTTCGCCTGCTGATTATTCAAATTTAAGGATATTTGGTTGTCCTACTTATGCTCATGTGAGGGATGGAAAACTTGAGCCGAGGGCAAAGAAGTGCATATTTCTAGGGTATGCAACTGGAGTGAAAGGTTATAAGTTGTGGTGCACAGATCAAAAGACTCCAGGGCTAATTATCAGTAGGGATGTAACATTCAATGAATCTGCCTCACTGGACAGTCAGAGGGAGAAGGCAATAGCAGAAACAGATCGTGGTGTCAGTGACCGCATAGAGCTAAAAATTGAATCTCCACTAGCTCAACCCAATAGTTCTAAAGTAGAGGAAGTGGAGGAGGTGCAAAATATTGATCAAGATGATAATGTTGATGCACCTACGCAACAACAACCATATAGCATTGCAACATGCAGAGAGAAGAGAGTGATCAACCGACCCCAAAGATTTGCAAACGTAGTTGATGAGAATCTTCTTGGATATACAAATCCAGTTGGATTTGCTTTGGCAGTTGCAGAGACCGTTGATGCGTTTGAGTGTTATAACTATTAGAAGCTATTCCGAGTATAGAACCAAATCGACGGATTAGTGCTACGAGTAAAGAGATTGAGTCTCTTAACAAGTTTAGGTGTTTCCTAGACTTGGTTGATGCGTGCGAAAATGGATAGAGCCCTTGCAAGGGCTGAGGGCAAGGCAGAGAGACGTTGTTTCTGTTGATGAAGAGAATTCAAGCCAAGGGGAAGATTTGTTATTTGTGGCTTGAATTATTTCCTTGTATTTTTAGGAAACCCATAGTCCCTATAGGTTTAGGAAAACCCATTGTCCTAATAGATTTGGGAAAGGAAAACTTATAGTCCTTGTCAAATTGGGAAACCTTTCTCATATATGTTTGGGACCTTTTGGGATCTATATATAGGGTTGTAGTTGGGGATTGTATCGATTGTATGGTGCTTTTCTTCTAATTCATAGTGGAAAAATCTCTCTTCTTTTGCCCCGAGGATTAGGCTTAGCCGAACCTTGTTAAATCCTTGTGTTGATTTTTTTTCTCTATTTGCTTTGTGTATGATTGTGTGCTAGTTAACCCACGATATTTCGCAACAAGAAGCCATAGCGATCTAATGGAATAAATAAACTTTATTCCATATATTGACTTGGTGCATATTAGGTTTTTAATATTTCTCCATGCAGTCCGTTCAAAAATTGAATCATCTAAACATTATCAACTGAAGAAGATCTCTTTGAAACCAAAAACTTTTCTGTACACTTAAATTTATGGTACTAAAGATGTGTCTTTTTTTTTTTTAATTGACTCAGAAGTTCTTCTTTTTCATTTAATGGCATTTCATATAGAAATTTCCCTGTCTAACTTCAACGAATTATGATTTTACTATATTAAAGCAGCTAGCCCAAGACACATCTATCAAGAGGTTTGTCAGAACGTTATATTATTTATTTAAGAATATGTAGAGTTGTGTCCTAAATTATACATGAAAGAAACATGATCATAAAAGAGAATATATCAGTAGATTCTTCGATTTTCTTTAAGGATGACTCAAGAGTGTGGTATTACCTCTCTGTTGCATGTGATCATCAGACAGTGCTTTGGCTTGCCAGAGAGTGAGGTTGACAAATTTTTTTAAATAGCAAAAAAGTAAAACAATGAGAACTGGTTATCTACTACTAACATTTGATATCAGAATATAGAGCTCGATTATTAGAGAGTAAGGATGGCGGTTCTTACCAGTGTATGAGTCGTATAGAGTAGTTTATATTTTGTGAATTGAGGTAGCAAGGTATGTCTTCATGATTCTTTTGGACATTACCAAAAGATTCTTTCAACGTAACTTCAATTATTTATCGACCTTAGTTGTATTTGATATTTTGTTAACTTCTATCATATTATACTTACTCAAATAATTTTTAAATGAATATAATCAACTTGCACAACGTCTTGAGTTATCAATGTAAAACTTTATATGGGAATATTTTATAATATGTGATACGAAATTGTTATGGATCAATTTACCTCATTAGATTCAATAATATGTTAATTATGAAGAAATTGTAATCACATAATTGCTAAGTTCTTAGCTATCTGTTGTATGTCATTTCCGGTTCTTTACTCTCAGTTTTTCTGCAGCACATATTTCACAGCTTCTTTGGATTTTACAAATAGAAGGGGGCCTTGGCGTAACTGGTAAAGTTGTTGCCATGTGACCAGGGGGTCATGAGGTCGAGTCGTGGAAATAGCCTCTTGCAGAAATGCAGGGTAAGGCTGCGTACGATAGACCCTTATGGTCCGGCCCTTCCCCGAACCCCGCACATAACGGGAGCTTAGTGCATCGAGTTGCCTTTTTTCTTTTTGGATTTTACAAATATTTTATTAGCCTCTTAACATTTCATTTACGCCATTTTATTTCTTCATTCTTATATATTTGGACTAATGTTGCCTCTTCAATTAACAAAGTTAAATTCCATCCTACATACAGATTACTGGAAAAGAAAAGATGCATTCAGTGAATGAATGAAATGCCAATAACTGAGATGGTCCAGCACCATCATTATCACAGTATTACTCAAAGAAAGATTATGGGTTATGAGTTATCCAGATGTCCCTTTGTTTCACTAAGTTCCAAGCTAAGCAGCAGTCTTATGATTTAGTACTGAATTCTGGGATCTTGCTAAAAATGCATGTCGTAGAGAGGGAAGAGCAAGCGTAACTTAGAGGCGGAGAACGATGACAACCAATGGGGCTGCTAAAGGTGGGTGCTCTATGGTTGATCAATGATCGACTACATATTTCTTTCCCTATTCCAGAGATTATGCATCCGCACGAAGGAATCAAATCAGTTTCTATAATACATCGTGATATAAACCATCATATTTATCGGAGACATCCTTATCGGAGAAGGTTTGATGTTAAAGTTTCAGGATTCAGGCTTGTAAAATCATATTTCTGTCCGGATCAATCTTATGCTAGCAAGAAGTAGGGATACTATGGCTTATAGGTCAAATACTAGTTTGCTCTCATTGTTCCATTTAAAGTTTATGAAGCTATTTCTTTATGCAATTCAAAACAAATTCTATATCCTCTTTTTCATAATTGTCACAAATTAGATAACTGAATTAATATTGTAGCTTTTATTCTATGTATTTGCAGGTAAGAACAGATAATACCGATGAGGTTAAGCTCAAATGTCGGGCCCGTGCCTTGCACGGGCATACAATATCTAGTTTTTTTTCTTCCTAAAAGGGTTGTTGGTCGTCTCCCTTTTCGTGATCCCGTCGAGTGTTTTTGTTTTTATTTTTGCAACCGAGAGAGTACCTCCTTCGCAAGTTGCTGATATTCGCGGGTGTGTGAGCTCGATTTTTCCCCACACAATGGGGATTCGCGAATGGACACCTTTCCACGAGAGTTTTGGGCGCAAACCTTCCGCTGGTGAGTCGGCTTGTTTCGGCCTTAGTTGCTTTGTTCTTCGCTCCGTATTTTTCTTTACCTTATATCTTCGTTTGGTCGAATTTCTCTCATTGGCAGGTCGGAGAGGAGCGAGAAGGGCGAGCGCTCTTGTTCTTGCTTTTCGTCTGACGACTACTTCTGCTAGGCCCGTACCAGTGGTAGCTGTGGATGAGGGTGCCCAAAGTCTGGCCATTCCGCGGATGCGTCCGCGTCCGATCATATGCATTCGAAGGCTGCTCTTCAGTCGGACACTCCAGTCCCCACAGTTCGCCCGACGGATGAACCTTCTCATGATGGTGGCGAAGAGGCCCCGTCAAAGAGCGGAGGTTGATGTCGGAGAGGGCGTCTTTGATTGAAACGCTCTCGAGGGGCGACCCTATTTCGGCGGTGTTTGAAACCGGCGGTGATGCCAGCCTGGGTGTGGAGGTGGCGCCCATTCGGGCTTAGAAGAGGCTGGCGTGGCAGGCGGACAGAGTTCAGAGGCCGCCGCGATTATTTCGAGCGATCCATCGATGTCTCGGCGGGCCCGTACCCCCTCTTCGGCTAATGAGAGGTTGAAGGGTGTAGTGGTAGATAATTATGAATTTGATTCTGATATTGATCCTGATGACGTGAGGATGTTCTAGGAAGGTTTTACCAGGGTCGATGTGAGGGCGGAAGGCCCTTCCCGTGTGCTCGAAATTTCGTCGAACTTTAACCTGTTGGAGGACACAGTGGACTTGGGGCCCCAATTTGATCTTCTATGCTCCGCCGCCGAAAGCAAGTCTCTTCGGGAGATTAGTAATTCCGGTTTATCACGCGGTGTGGCTAGGATGGCCTTGAGGGTGAGTATCTTTTTGCTATTTTCTTTGTTTTGTGCCATTTGCTTTCGCTGATTCTTCCGTTTTCCCTCCTCAGACTTACATGTTGGAGATCAAGAGTGCTCTTCGGGATGAGACGCAGGACAATATCTTTCTGAAAATGGCCACGAAGTATCACCGGCATCGCAACATGTGCCGTGAGATGCCGCGCAGCTTAAGGCGAGCAATAATACTCAGTCCCTCAAGGAGGAGTTGGAAATGAAGGACGAGGATCTGGTGCGGTATACCTGCAGATATAGCGAGCTCGAGGGGCTGCTTAGGGCCAAAGACGAGGATCTCGAGGTGAGCAAAGGGGTTGCAGCAGAATGCGAGGATCTTCAGGCGAAGGTATTGTCTTTGCGAGCCGAGCTTGAGCAGAATGCCACTAGATTTGCCGATCTGAGTGCAGAGTGGACGGAAAAGGTGGTTGAGCTAGAAAGGAAGGTGGCTGAGTTGGAGAGGGCCGAGGGAGCTCGAGTGGCATCTTTGGCGAGGGTAGCGGCACTGGAAGACACTATCTGCGTTCTCAAGTCTGAGCGGAAAGTTGAAAGGGCGACAACCACACTAAGGGAGGCAAGGCTGGAGGAGCGGATTGGTGAGCTCGAGCGGGATGCCTCAAACCTGAAAGACCAAGTTGTGGCTCTCGAGGCTGAGAAGGAGCAGTTGTTGGCTCCCCCTCACCCCCCTCAAGAATCTGCCTCTGCTGCTGTCCCCTGTAGACATGTAATTTTTTACCCTCCCCAAGATTTTACATATTTTAGCATTTAAATATTTAGTTTAGGCCTAATATTGCTATTTCAACTAGTTTTGACTCTTTTACTTTATTTTGTCAGAAAAATAAAAATTACAATTTTTTTCTCTTTTATTTAGGTAATTGATATTTTATCGTGTTACTTTTAGTTTATCTACCTTTCATAAAATTTAAAAATACAAAAATAGTTTCACTTTATTTTCAGGAATAGTAGTAGTTTGGTAGGAATATTATTTTAATTTTGCAATAATTTTAATCTAATTCCATTTTTATCTTTTAGTATGATATTTGAAAAATACCAAAAAGGTTTATTTTAACCGTTCGTTTTATTTTAATAGTTATTTTGCTTAAGTAGGATTAATTAATAAATGAGGTAATATTTTTAGTCTTGTTCAAGGAAAAAGAATAAAATTTGGGCTCAAACAACCCATTTTTAGGCCTAATTTTCGGACCACTAGCCCATAATCCAAGTCCAATACCTATAAAACCGTAACGCTTTAAAGGACTCCCTCATCTGACTTTCTTCTTCTTCAACCTAAAAGAACTCCACCAACCGTAGAAGAATCTTCCAGCCATCACCATCCACCCCAACTTCCCTTTCATCAAACAACCAAACAACACCCCACCCTAATCTCCTAATACCAAAAAGACACGGCAAACCCCAAAAAAAAGGGGAATAGAGGTGAACGGACATAGAAAATTAGAGATGGAGAGAGGACAAAAAATTGAGAGAAGATGTTTAGGAAAAATTATGGTTCAGTTTTAGTGTTCATCCTTAATTTCATATTTTTATATATTTCAAAATTTTTGAAAAGAAAATTCAGTTGTTCCATCTGGATTTTGTCACACTAAAAATGGAGCTGCTGATTCGAGACAGTTCGTTCTTAGTTCGAGTTATCGAGGTTTCCTGTCGCATGTCCAATTGCTCATTCAAATACTTGCTGACGATTCATTATTGGGTGCTCTTTCATTAATAAAACTTTGAGAAATTACATTAGTGAGGTCCATTTTTTCCCTTTGCCCTTGTCTTTTTCTAAAATTATCTCATGGGATTTGTGTGTCTTTTCTTGATTTATTGAAACTGTTGTGGCATGTTTGTTGACTTAGAGGAATTAGCCTAGTTATTACTTTTTATTAAATTAGTAGTTGAATTTGATTTCCAGTGCTAGCATGCACAACTTAAAAAATGACTAATACACTTCGATCTATTGACTTTGGAATGGTTAATTGGGGCGTGGGTTAGAATTCGAAAAGATGAGAGTCTCGTTAGTAGAAATCAAATGATATTTAGGCTTTGGTCATAGTTTATCCGTAAAACTGGGTTTAATACTAAGTTAATTATATCTTATTCGTTTGGGATGCTAGTAGCAGGTTTAGACCGACCATGTTCGGGTAGGCAAATTTTTCGGCGCGTAAATAATCATCGTGACTATGGGTACGGTTCCCGTGGCATAGTCATGATACATAATCCCCAATTCTGGTGTGCATCTCATATGACCCGACCATAACTTCAAACAATAATAAAATAAATATATTGTAGATCGTGGGTACGGTTCCCGTGACGCAATTCGCAATGTGTACAAAAATAAATGAGTGCGCGGCAATCGTGACTTGTTCCAAAAAATAATTCTATAAACACTAAAAGTGGTTAAAAGTTTTAAAAATGCACAACAGGTTATAAATATGTAATAAATCAAATAATTAGGTCAATTATTAATAGTTTAGCGACCTTGCTAAAATCACGAAACCATGAATGCCTAACACCTTCTCCCGAGTTAACAAAATTCCTTACCCAGATTTCTATACTCGCAGACCATAAATAAGAGTCAATTTCCTCGATTTGGGATTTTAAAATAAATTGGTGACTTGGGATACCATAAATTATTCCAAGTGACGACTCTGAATTGAATAAATAATCCCATTTCGATTATTGTCACTTTAATTGGAAAAACTCCCCGATCCCCTTTCGGAAAAAAAGGGAGGTGTGACATCCCCCTCCATTTGTACGAGATATGGGTCCATGCTGAGGCCCCACGAGATATATATAAGGGTTTGTGGGCGGCGGGGAGCGTTCCTGAGGCCGCTTTTGAAGATGCTCGGGTTAAGGCATGCGAGGCTCGTCTTGCCTGTGATTATGACCCTACGACACCTGAGGCCGGTAGGGATGCTGAAATTGAAGATGGGCTTCTTTCTGATGCTGACAATACTGGAGAGGACGGTGGTGGAGATGAGGCTGAGTGAGCAAAGGGGTTGCGGTGGAATGCAAGGATCTTCAGGCGAAGGTGTTGTCTTTGCAAGCCGAGCTTGAGCAGAATGCCACTAGATTTGCCGATCTGAGTGCAANCCCCCCCCGCCCATCAAGAATATGCCTCTGCTGCTGTCCCCTGTAGATATGTAATTTTTTACCCTCCTCAAGATTTTACATATTTTAGCATTGAAATATTTAGTTTAGGCCTAATATCGCTATTTCAACTAGTTTTAACTCTTTTAATTTATTTTGTCAGAAAAATAAAAATTACAATTTTTCTCTCTTTTATTTAGGTAATTGATATTTTATCTTGTTAGTTTTAGTTTATCTACCTTTCATAAAATTTGAAAATACAAAAATAGTTTCACTTTATTTTCAGGAATAGTAGTAATTTGATAGGAATATTATTTTAATTTTGCAATAATTTTAATCTAATTCCATTTTTATCTTTTAGTATGATATTTGAAAAATACCAAAAAAGGTTTATTTTAACCGTTCGTTTTATTTTAATAGTTCTTTTGCTTAAGTAGGATTAATTAATAAATGAGGTAATATTTTTAGTCTTGTTCAATGAGAAAGAATAAAATTTGGGCTCAAACAACCCATTTTTAGGATCAATTTTTGGACCCTTAGCCCATAATCCAAGCCCAATACCCATCAAACCGTAACACTTTGAAAGCCCCCCTCGTCTGACCTTTTTCTTCTTCAACCTAAAAGAACTCCACCAACCGTAAAAGAACCTTCCAGCCATCTAGCCATCACCATCCACCCCAACTTACCTTTCATTGAATAA